AGTTCACCTTCTCTCTTAAGCTGAACTTACTTCTACTGTAACTTAGAGGCATGTTCTTTTGTTTACTTGCCTATTAAAATTGCTGAACTATAGTCAGAATTACCATAATAGTTCTTAGTCTGATTAAAGATAGTTATTAAGCATTTTTTAAAATATATTTTATCGATTATGCTATTACAGTTGTCCCATTTTCCCCCTTCACTCCCCTCCACCCTGTACACACTCTCCCACTCATATCCCCCCTTTAGTTCATGACCATGTTTCATACTTATGAGTTCTTTAGCTTCTACATTTCCCATACTATTCTTATCCTCCCCCTATCTATTTTCAACCTACCATCTATGCTACTTATTCTCTGTACCTTTTCCCCCTCTCTACTCCTCCCATTCCCCTGTTGCTAACCCTCCATGTGATCTCCATTTCTGTGGTTCTGTTCCTGTTCTAGTTGTTTGCTTAGTTTCTTTTGGTTTTGCTTTAGGTGTGGTTGTTCATAATTGTGAGTTTGCTGTTCTTTTACTATACATGTTTTTTCTTTATCTTCTTTTCTTAGATAAGTCCCTTTAACATTTCATAAAATAAGGGCTTGGTGGTGATGAACTCCTTTAACTTGACCTTATCCGGGAAGCACTTTATCTGCCCTTCCATTCTAAATGAGAGCTTTGCTGGATAGAGTAATCTGGGATGTAGGTCCTTGTCTTTCATGACTTGGAATATTTCTTTCCAGTCCCTTCTTGCCTGTAAGGTCTCTTTTGAGAAATCAGCTGACAGTCTGATGGGAACTCCTTTGTAGGTTACTGTCCCCTTATCTCTTGCTGCTTCTAGGATTCTCTCCTTCATTTTTACCTTGGCTAATGTAATTATGATGTGCCTTGGTGTGTTTCTTTTTGGGTCCAACTTCTTTGGGGCTCTCTGTGCTTCCTGGATTTCTTTGAAGTCTATTCCCTTTGCAAGATTGGGGAAGTTCTCCTTTATTATTTGTTCAAATAACTTTTCCACTTGTTGCTTTTCTTCTTCCCCTTCTGGTACCCCTATAATTCGGATGTTGGAACGTTTAAAGATGTCCTGGAGGTTCCTAAGCTTCTCCTCATTTTTTTGAATTCTTATTTCTTCATGTTTTCCTACTTGGTTGTTTTTTGCTTCCTTGTGGTCCACTCTATTGTTTTGAGTCCCAGTTTCCTTCCCATCACTGTTGGTTCCCTGTGCATTTTTCTTCATTTCTTTTATGGTAACCTGCATTTTTTCATCTAATTTGTGCCCAAAATCAACCATTTCCATGAGCTTCCTGATCACCAGTGTTTTGAACTGTGCATCTGATAGATTAGCTATTTCTTGGTCGCTCAAAAGGATGAGTCCTGGGGGACTGATCTGTTCGTCTATTGGAGACACGTCTCTCTCCCTCCTTTTTTTTTTCCCCTTCGATCTGGTCACTTTTGTTATGGTGAGGGGCAGAGCCTTAGGTGTTTACCTGGGCTGGGCACCCCAGTCGCTAGATTGTGATGTTGTATGTGGGGACGGGGGCAGGGACGGGGGGCAGGACAGGGGGGGCGGGGGGGACAATGGCAGTAGTTCTGTTCTCCTGGGATCACAGTCCCTTCTCTGGGATCCTGGGTTGCGAGCTCTGCCCTGGTCCACAATCGCTGCTTCACTGGGTCCACCAGCCACTACTTGCATACTCAGGGTCCACCGCTGTGATTTTGCGCGCCCCAGAAGGCTTATGCACCGAGCTTGCGCCGAGTTTGTGCCGAGTTTGCGCACCGAGTTCTCCCCATCACCGCGTGCTGCTGTCAACCTGCACCCGCCCGGCTCCACCCCTCCTACCAGTCTCGATGAATGGGTCTATTTCAACTTCTTGGCTGTCCGACTTCCATTCAGATAAATTCTCTGTCAGTTCTGGGTGTTATTCTGGCTCTAAATTGTTGTTGTTCTAATCTTGGTTGTGCGTGGAGGTATGGTGCGTCCACCTATGCCTCCATCTTGCCAGAAGTCCAGCATTTTTTATTCTAACTGTCTCACCTAGTTTTGCTTTCTTCAAAAAGACCCATTGTCTGTTCTACAACATCTCTTTATCACATGTGTATCTGTGTTCAAGACATTTACCATTTGTCCACATTTTAAAATGTAGGCTCCACTCTGAATAATGCAGTAAGAAGCCTGAGATAGTTGAGGTTGAAGAACTGAACACTTTGGTATAACTTTGTAACTGATCAAAATAAGGCAGATTGTTATTATGAGGTTATCGTTAGGGCTTTAAAAAATCTGCTTAATTTCAGCCTTGGCTGCTATGGCTAGTGGATTGAGCATGGGCCTGCTAACCAAAGAGTTGCTGGTTTGATTCCCAGTCAGGGCCAATGCCCGGGTTGCAGGCCAGGTCCCCAGTAGGGGGTGCATTAGAGGAAACCACACATTGAAGTTTCTCTCCTTTACTTTCTCCTACCCTTCCGCTCTGTGTAAAAATATATAAATTAAAAAAAAATTAAAATCTTCCTAATTTTTCCTGGGATAGTTTAGATTTATGTTGTTTTCAAATAATTTCTTTTTTTGTGGGCCTCTGTTTCTACCTTTATAATATGACCTCTGAGATTCATTCAGGTCTGATCATATTTAATGCTGACAATTCTCATAATGTGATAGGATCTGTTGAAGTAGAAGATGATGCTCAGAAATTTTCTGTTATGTGTGGTATGAGGTAGACATAGCTCTGGATAGGACATTTGAACCTGAAAACTGGGCTGTGAGCTAGAATTTGGTAGTCAAGGGTCCAACAACCTTGATATCCTTTGCTGATCACTTAAGATGTCATTGTGTGCATTTTTGTAATATATTATGACTTGGTGACAATTCTTTGTATTTAACAGTTATTATAATTTTTTTTAGTGCAGTGTTTAGCCAAAAGAAAGCCAAAGGAGTTTCTCAGTCCTGGCTGTACATTAGAATTAGCTGAATTTAAGAGCAATCCTGGCCTCTGACTTTTCCTCTTCACTGCCTTTGCCCATCCCCAAGATCCTAATTGAATTGGTGTGAGATGGAGTTTTGGCGTCAATGTCTTTAGAAAATCTTCCTTGGTGACTCTAGTTTGTAGGCAATGTTTGTGGCTACTGGGTGGAGTTAATAAAAGTTTTTAAGGCTTATAACCCTAATAGAAATATGGGCAAAGTATCCCTTGGGATGAGTTCACTCAGAAGGGTAAGAGACGTAGAAATGTTTCTTTATGACTCAAATCATAATTACTAATCCTATGGGGTCTAAGGTAGGAATAGTAATGTAATACTTTGCCCAATGCAGTGTTTCTTGTAGTGGTCCTAAAACCAAAAGAATCAGCATCACCTGGGAATTTATTAGAAATGCAAATTATTGAGCACTACCCCTCATCTACTGAATTAGAAAGTCTGGGGATGGGATCCAGCGAGCTATGCTTGAACAAGACCTTCCAGAGATCCTGATGAACTCCAAAGTTTTAGAACCACTAGCATAGAGAGTTTTGCAGGAGTAAGAGGCTGTGTATGAAAATCTTAGCACAGTGCCTGGTACATTGTGAGAGTCCAAAAAACAGAGTGCTTTAAAGGTGGTGTTTGCTTAGTAGTCTGATTATCGTGGGGAACCAGGCTTACAGCTGGGAGCTCCTCTCCCAGCTCTGAACTGTTTTTTGTAAGGCACATGGAGCCCGTGTGAACATCCGAAAGGTGTAGCAGACCAACCAGTTCAAGTCACCATCCTTCCACTGCTCAATTTTGACCATCCTTTTTCTGAAGATTTAAGTTTCGATGCTTTGGTATGGTCTAAAAGCAGGTCACTGAGTGATAGAGTCTGCTGCCCTACCACTAAATGTTGAACAGCTGAAATGCAAGGAAAAGCTACTTATCCATAAATAGAGGAGAGAATTTTCCCAACATATGTAAAGTATTATTTTTAACAGGAAGAGGACAAATGAAAAGTTTTAGGTAAATGGGGTCTTTCTTTTCCCAATAGGATTTCTTGTAGAATATTTAAAAGGATTTTACATTATGAGTCCATAGAGCTCTTGGATATACGTTAATACTCAGATCTTAGAGATCAGGCACATTCTTCAACAGCTCTAACTTCAGTGTGCTGTTCTTGTGGGTCAGCAGTGTTGGACTTTCCTAGTGGCCTAAAGCCTCATTGCTCTCTCCTTGGATTGCATATAGATTTCCAAATCGACACTTCTCATTCCAGTTTTTCATAATCTGCCCTACATGCACTTTTAGATTAATGTTTAGTAAGTCATATTGCAACCAAGTGTTCCTTTCTCAGAAATCCTCGATGGATCCTCATTGCACACATAGAATTCAAGCTATTTGCTAGTTTTACCAAAAAAAAACCACTTGAAAGCTTATTTTGTCACTGGTTTATTTTATAAGCTATGGTTTATTTTATATTTCTATATTTATGGTAGTTGTCGCTTACTCTTTATTCCTTAGGCTCTTTTTTTTTTAATCTCTGTGCCTTTATTCCTCTCTCTTTCTGCCTAGAGTGGACTTACTCTCTACATCATAATGTTCAGGGACAATTTAAATGTTCAGTAAAGCCTTCCTTGTTTCTCTACCTGGGCATAAGCTTTTCTTCATCTTAGTTTCCACTTTGTTTGTACATCTTTATACATTGCCTCTTGTAGTATCCTTACTGTGTACTCATTTTTTGCCTTCTCTAATTTACTGAAAATTGATTGAGGGTAAGGACCAAGTCTCACATATTTCAGTAATCCACCACCCCAACCACCTTCCCTGTTCTGGCTAAATGTTCCTGACCCCTATAGACTAGCTTTTATGTCACTTTGAATGATCAAACCTGGCTCTCAATCTTCAGAAAGTTAAGGCTTCTGAGTAAAGTGAGGAGAAGAAAGATAGGGAATAATTGTCATGCAAGGCAAAAATTATGTGTCAGTGCCAATTACAAAGCTGCAGAATGCTAGCCAATATGTGTTTTGAAGAGTGCTTATAAGTTTGCATCCGTAGTAACTGGATGTGTATGTTTCCTTTCTGCAGGTGATTTTCTTCCACCCCCACCCCCACCTCTGGATGATCCCGGTGTTCTTCCATCTGGCTCTGGAAACTTCCCTCCTCCACCACCGCTTGATGAAGGTGCTTTCAGGGCACAGGTAAGATCTGTGGTTGAAGTCATATTTATAAGCCATGCTAGGAAGCTCACGAATTCAGTGATACTTTCTGTACCGGATACACATTTATCCAGAGCCTACAAAGAGCTTTACAACTCACAAAAAGCTAAGTCACCTTAAGGCAAAATGCCCAACTCAAAGCTTTTCAGAGTTCTGCCAGCTTGTACTCCAAAGCCTTAGAATCCTTTCCCCTGCTAATTTTGTTTCAAAACTGAAAGCCATTTTTTTTTAGGAATGCCATTTGAGAAGTTCACATGTTTTTGTTATCCTGGAGCGCACAACCATACTTTCCTTATTTTTTTTTCTCTATCCACAGGCATGGTATTCTGCATGAGTACCATTGATATTTTAAGTGTCTGGTTGGTCACAGTAGGTCCTAATTGGTCAGCAGCATCTTTCTAGCCAAACCAGCAACAAACATCTTTCAGATTTTCTCTTCTGAGGCACATTACAGTATGTATTGATTATGTACAACTGTCGTACTCCAGAGAGGGGTGATGGCAAAGCACTGGGCTGGAGTCAGAAGCACCATGAGCAGTGGTTCTCAGCCTGTGAGTGTGGAGGGGCTCTGGTGACATTAGCATGGGATCAGGGCCACAGGCTGAGGACAGGGTTAGGGGTACAACCCACCTGGAGTGTGCATGGTCAAGAAGACCTCCCTGATCAGGTGGCCCCTACACAAAGACTGGGGGCCGGAGAGGGGAGAAAGGGCCACGTGCATTTCCTGGAAGTATATTTTTATATAGCGGATCTTAGGAAATAGAAGAAGCTTGTTTTTTAATTGATCAGTTGAAATTATTCAGTTTATTAAGTTCCAGTTATAACCAGTAAGTTTCAATTCAGTTTGGAGGTTAGGCCTTATAAAGGCACTTACACATTTTCTGTCTTCTCACAGACGTCACAAACTCCCTTCATTTCATCTTGCTGTAAGCTAGCAAAAACAGATCAGATGCCAGTAATGGACAGGAGTCTTACAAAGCTTATATTTATTTAATGCACTAGAGAGAGCCCATGTTAATAAAAACAATATGATTAATTTTCCTTATTTTTAGTCATTTTTTATTTTAAAAAAGAAGACCTTTCAAGTTTGTCTTTTGTATAGTTTTGCTCTTATTTTCATGGTGTTGGTTCTTTGCATATTTAGTTTACTCAATTAAAATCTTCACTTACTCAATCTTCTCTCTTGGATCATTATAGAAACTATTTTGTTGGGTTTAAAATCTTTATTTCTAAAAAGTTTCTTTAACTTTGTGACAATAGACTTGTGTTTAAGTATTTCAGCAGCTTATTCTAGTTTTATTATTTTGAGCCATTCAGAATAAGTCCCAGTTTCTTTATAATTAAAAATAAAGTAACGGTACCAACATCTAATAATTAAATGAAATACAGATGGATTTAAAATTGCTAAGCTATAATGGCTATACAGATTTTTTGATGTTATAATTATTACTGGATATACAATAACACCAGCAAGAATAATAATAAGACTTTGCCAAAGTGTTTCATTAAGAGAAATTCAGACATGGGGCTTTTCTAAAAGTACGAAAAGTCTTGCTCTGTGCGGACCCTGTCCTGGTAACTGTTCTGAAACCACAACTTTGTTTTTGAAAAAGAAGGAAATAAACAAAAAGCCTGTTGCCATGTTGGCTTATGTTCTCTGCAAAACAGAAGGAAGAAGGATAAAAAATAAAATAGAGTTTGCCAAGTGGAAAAGGACAAATCTGGGAGGGAGAGGCCTGGCATTCTTGATCATATGTAAGGCCTGTAGGCGAGTTCAAAAGAGAAGGGGCAGGTCCCTCCCTGGCGTGGGGGTGATACCATGTGATAAGGACTTGGCCCTGCTCTGGCTGTATCCGCATCCCTTTTGGAGAGGAGCTATAATGTATCTCAAGGTAATACGCTCACTGGAGAAGATTTTATACTTTTTCCTCTCAGCCATGGTGAAGCCTCCTGTTGCCAAGTCCAAATTATAGCTGGTGAATGTGTGTTTTTATGTAGAAGTCTGTTTATGTTTCCAGCCAAATTTTCAGGTTCAAGCCAAAAGAATGTCTACTAAGTGTGACTACAAGAATAATAAGATTTCCAGAGCTAGGAGGGACCTAAGAGATAATATAGTCCAACCCTGCGCCAAGCATTGGGTTAAGGCCTTCTTGAGCACTTGCTAAATGACTTCACTCCCTCTCTTTACCAATGGGGAAACTGAGACCCAAGAAGGGTAGATTATGTAGTTTCTGACTGAACTCTTACTGAATTTGAGAATTCTTGACGCCTGGATTTGCCCTTTATCGCACTATACCAGACGGCTTGGGCACATGGTTTTAAGGCTCTGAGGTTCAGATGAAGGGGTTACTTGCTCCTGTTTGGAACAACCAGGTGGTGCTAGAGTTTTGCTTGACTCACTGAACTTTCAATGTTTGCTGTAGACTTTATCTTTGCAAAAGGCAAATAAATATTTAGTGTCAAGAATTCTTGTTTTGAGAATTCTCATTTTTATAGAAGATGACTCTTGGAAAACAAATGAGATATTTTCTGTTCTATCAGGATCAGTTTGACCTCACTGCCTGTGAGATTTGGAATGCATTTAGCAGTCACTTCCCTCCTTCACTTGTTCCACATTTGTTTGCTGTAAATTGAATACCTTCTCTAACTCAGGCACACATGCTGAGGATTATAGCCTTAGAATTTGGCATTGTGGATCTAGTGCCCTGAGTCCCAGTCTTGGGACTGTTAGTTTTCTGAGCTAATTCCACAGTTGGTAATTTTTTTCTATTTTAGCAGAGGCAGGCAAGTATTTAGCATTGTTTAGCATAGGTTCAAAGGGGGAGAATGTATTATAAACTTTCAAATTTGCAAGGGAATAAGAGGTCATAACTTAAGTCCCCCTTCTGTTGCTTGAACTGCCAATATTTTTTTCAGTTTTGTAAAATATTTATGGATGACTACTATAGGTAAGGCAACGTTGAAGGATGAGGTTTATCACCTACCAGCTCTGAATCAAGCTTGGAAGCTTCATATATATGCACACCCTGTATTTTTAGTACTATAAGACACATCGGACCATAAGATACACCTAGGTTTTAGAGGAGGACAATAGGGAAAAAATTTTTGAAGCAAAAAATGTGGCAAAGTATTTAATAACATAAATAACATTGGCTGCCATCCGCTGCTCCCCATAGCGAGCCAGGTAAGCTACATTTGGACTATAAGACGCACACCCCATTTTACTCCCAAATTTGGAGGGAGGTCCTTCTTATAGTCTGAAAAATACAGTGTGTGTGTGTGTGTGTGTGTGTGTGTGTGTGTGTGTGTGTGTGTATTTTTTCCTAAATTAAGGTGTTTTGTGCTAAATTATGCCTTAGTTACCATACTTCGATGAGAAGTACACTCTAAGTCCTGTGTTGTGGTAGAGAGTCAGGGACATAAAAACTGACTAGAGATATGCTGGGAAGATTTTTGGAAACAGTGTCATTTGAACTACACTTTGATGACTGGGTAGGACCTTAATTTTCAGATGGGTGAATGGATTTGTCAGCAGTGAGGTGATAATGAGAATACAGAGGAAGAGAAGCACCAAGGAACTGTGACATCTGCATTTCTGGCTGTGGAATTTACCCTTCATTCTGGAATCACGGACAGTTTATTGCAGGTCTTTGTCACTACTTTAAATATAAGGAGGACATCCCCAGGTCTGTGTTGGCTGCCAAGTGGTGCTTTTCACACACCATGAGACTAAACAGGTTGTGCCCACGGGAAACCCCATGCAGACAGCTCCGATTGTCTGGTTGACTTCCTGGAGCTCCTCAGGGACTTATTTGCTGATCCCTGATGGCTCTGAGTTCAGGTGCTCTGTATTTAACTTCCTCTTTTTATATCTTTGCTTGAGTTTTTTCCCATGACCTCCAGTTGACAACTTTTAATTTTACCTCTCTCATTGTGACTCAGTCCTGTGGCTTGCTTTCACTTGCCTACTATCCAGTGGTTTTACACTTTCAGTTTTCATGTCTCCTCTTCTCTTCATTTGGTCAGGATGGCCACGTTTGCTACTCCTGACTCCAATCTCTTCACCTCCAAAAACACACTGTTTTGTCCATTGCTCCTTACTCCAAATGTTAATGTTATTTTTTTCTTTTTTTCAACTGAAATTTGTCCCTTTATGATTTCTTTGCATGGATTTTCTTCCCATCCTTTTAGAAAATGATGCACATTCAAAGGATCCACCAGTCCAGGAGTGAGGTATCATGTCTGCCTCAAGGAGTTGATGGATAAAGCTACTGAAAGAGGTGACTCTTCTCAGCAGAAAGTGAGAACAGTGTAATGGCCCTGCGCACTGGACTTGGGGAAATGCCCGGAGTTAGTTGAAAGGGAAAGAGGGAAGAGAAAATTCTGAAATCATTTATAGCCTTGTTATAATAAAGTCAGTCTCCAAAATCTGTAGGCCAACTCATTCCTATTCTTATAAAAACAATTTCAAAGGTCATGTATGTATAGGGTGAATGGTGGGTTATAATCATTTATCCACTTAGGCATTTAATGTATTTCATTTATCAATGATAACTTAAAAATTGATTGAAGTTTTATTAGAAGTGGCACTAGAATCCATGTCGCGTGACATGTAATCCTAGTCTAGTAGGTATTGAATGGCAGAATTTTACTTTTAGGCATAGAAAACTCATGCCCACAGCTGTGGCCATGTTCATCCAGGAACTCCCAAAAAGGCGCACTGGGAGTTACTTATATGGTGTGGACACACCCTGTTATAGAGGTCATCCCTTCTGTATCTGGTAGTGGGGTGAGGAAGGAGGAGGCTGGGTAAAAAAAGACCATGTCCAGGCTCTAAAGGCTAAGAACAGAGGTAGTGTGCGATTTTTCAGAGCAAAACCAAAGTGGTCAGTGAAAGCTTGATTCCACTGTAAAATGCTTGCCTTTCTGTTCAGTGAGAATGTAAGAATATCTCAACACATGGAAACATACCAAAGGAGTGA